CGGGAAAACCGCCCAATACATGGGGCGAGACGGGTGTGTAGCTGGTGTGAAGGAAGAAATTTCCACGTGAAAGTGTGTCCTGCCAGGGAGTAGCCAGTGCTTGGTCCGCTGTTGGTGCCGAATGCCTCCTGGACAGTCCTGGGGGGGCCCGGGAAAGGGCATTGGCCACAGTACCAGGCCCCCCACCTCCTCTCGGAGACGGGTACCAGCCGTCTCAGCATCCTCTTTCCGGTAAGGGATGCGGAAAACTGCACTTTATTGGAGTCGACACCGGCTCATCAAGTGACCGAGCGCGCTTTGCTGCTCACCGAATTACTCCCCCTCGAAGGAACTTTTAGGAAGTAGCTTTCGCCCTCTATTGAATGGGCCAAGTGAGAGAAGCCTCGACAGGCCTCGGGCTCGAGCATGGTTCGTGCCGTCCTTTTCAAGCAGCCACTTTAAGTTTCTTCCTCAGGGAGCAGGAGCCTGGTGTGGGCAGAGTTCAGATGAGTTGGATGGCGCTCTGGAAGGGCCGCAGGCAGCCCCAAAGCCTGGCGATGGTAGGCAGATGCGGGGTGAGAGGTGTGGAATGGGAGCCTGCCCCGCCCCAAGGTCCTGGCTGCATGGAGTATGTGGGGCTGGGTGACTGGGTGACGGGGACACGGATGTGGTCCCTGGAGGAGAGTGACCAGAGGTCGCGTGGATCTCGAACTTCTTGTTAAGCGATGAGCAAGCGTTTCTTGGAGCCTCTGCGTGTCCCGCTGGAGGCATTGTGCAGCCTGTGGCTGGTGCTAATCTGGGGCCGTGGGAGCGAGGAGAGCGTCCCCAATCACGTTGCATCCTGGCTGGGAGGGTTTGCCAGTGGCATCTGGAGTTCAGGGAGGAGGAGAGACTTCTGCAGGGAGCGGGAGCGGGAGGGGGCACCCACAGTGGATCCACAGCGTGTGGGGGCTGTTTCCATGCTCTCCGTGAGTCTGTCCTCAGAAACGCTAGGAAAGCAGGAAGGGCTCCTGTGCTCCTTTTCCCCCCGGTGACTTAGCAAAAGGCACGGCACTGCATTCTCTGTTCTCGGTTTCCACACACGCTCATGGTTTGATTTCGTTAAAGTGATTTGTTTCTCCCATTGCAGGCACCAAAGGCCAAGAAAGGATTGAGAGGTGAGGGGCGAGAAGGAACGTCACCCGTCAGCCAAAAACAATTCCCCGCCTGGGGGCCAAAAGGGACCTACATGTGTCCGTGACTGAAAGTTCCTGGCGGTTTCCCCGTAATTCCATTGGCAGCTTTGGTTTCCGGGGACTCCTGATGCGGCCTCAGTGGCCCTTCGCATAATTTAGAAATAAACGAGGGATGGGACTTGGGAAAAAAATCCTTCTCACTGGGGTCTGTACCCGGAAGTACTCGGTTGGGGTTAAGGGTGGTGAAGGCACTTGAGCTGGATGGGGTCCCCACGTGCCCACGGAGAAGTGGCCAAGGAGGTGTGCCCCCAGACCAGTCCTGCTGGAGGGGCCTGGGGGGGGGGGGTTCTAGCAGGCTGTCGGTCTGAAAGAAGCTTGTATGCGCCTAGAAACCTCGGGCGCTTTTCCCAAAGACACGCTGGGCTTTGTTCAGAGTCCGGAAGACTGGCTTGTTGGCCAGTGTGTCACGTACAACGTAGGTTCTACTGAAAATCTTCACCATCGTCCTCTGAGAAAGTTGTTCTCAGTTTCTACCCTGGGGTCTTCCAATAAGGCGACGTGACTTGTTGCCAGAGAATGAGAAGACGTCTCGTGGCCAGTGAGAGAGAGCTGGGCCACGTCCAGCGTCCGAGAGCCCTGAGGTCCTGGGGTGAGGGCTCAGACGTGGGGCTGTGAGGACCATTCTTCCTCCTCCAGTCGCGCCGCCGCCCCCTCTGTTCCAGGCTCCATTGATGACGTCCTTGAGGACCTCCTGGGGGATGAGCGTAAGTGCCCTTTCCCAGAATCCCCTGATGTAGGCTTCTTCTTCTTTAATTGAGATACATTTCACATAAAATTTACTCTTTTAAAGTGTACGTGTCAGTGGCTTTTAGTATATTCACAAAGTTGTCCAACCATCACCACCGTCTAATTCCAGAACATTTTTATCACCCGTAAAGAATCTCCATGCCCATTAGCAGTCACGCCTCATTCTCTCTTCCCCCCAACCCTAGGCAACCACTGACCTTTCTTTACGGATTTACCTCTTCTGGACATTTTTAAAAAATATTTTAATTGATTTTTCACAGAGAGGAGGGGAGAGGGATAGAGAGTTAGAAACATCGATGAGAGAGAAACATCAATCAGCTGCCTCCTGCACACCCCCCACTGGGGATGTGCCCGCAACCCAGGTATATGCCCTTGACTGGAATCGAACCCGGGACCCTTCAGTCCACAGGCCAACCCTCTATCCACTGAGCCAAACCGGTTAGGGCTCTTCTGGACATTTTATATAAAGTGGAATCATGCAGTAAGTGGCTTTTGCCTCTGGCTTCTCCCACTTACCGTGATGTTTTCAAGGTCTCTTTCTTTGTTCCTCTCCACGGCTGGGCAATATTCTGTTGTGTGACTCTGTCACCTTGTGTTTATTCAGCCATTAGGTGATGGATATTTGGGTGGTTTCCACACGTTCCTAGGCTGTTAGGAATAATGCTGTATGAACATTCAGATACGAGGTTTTGTGTGAATATATGTTTTCAGTGCTTTGGGGATATAAACCGAGGCGTAGGATCACTGGACTATATGCTAACTCTGCGTTTAACTTTTTGAGGTACCGCCAATCTATTTTGACAGCAACTGCGCCATTTTATTTTATTTTTTTTAATATATATTTTATTGATTTTTTACAGAGAGGAAGGGAGAGGGATAGAGAGTTAGAAACATCGATCAGCTGCCTCCTGCACACTCCCTACTGGGGATGTGCCCGCAACCAAGGTATGTGCCCTTGACCAGAATCGAACCTGGGACCCTTGAGTCTGCAAGCTGATGCTCTATCCACTGAGCCAAACCGGTTAGGGCAACTGCGCCATTTTACATTTCACCAGCAGTGTGGGAGGGTTGCGTTTCTCCACACCCTTGTCCATACTGGATCTTGTCTGTCTGCTTGACTCCAGCCATCCTCGTGGGTGTAAAGTTGCATCTCATTGTGGTTTTGATGTGCATTTTCCTAATGGCTAATGGTTTTGAGCATCTTTTCGCGTATTTATTGGCCATTTGCTTATCCTCTTTGGAGAAGGTCGTTTTTACTTGGTGCACTGTAAGCGGTCCTTATCTGGACACTCGTTTCTTACCCGCATGACCGTGTGTGATGTTCCGAGGAGCAGGGCCTCAGAGTCATGCAGAGCTCCCGGGACAGCAGGGCAGCAAGGCTGAGGTCCCTGCCTGGCCCCCCAGCAGGCACAGCCCTTGGTGTTCCAGCCAACAGCTTTGGGCCACGGAAGTGCATTGTTCTTCCTGCATTTCCATGGGGTGGGGAGGGCGTGGTCTTCATTTGTCACCAGTTGGCATTTAGGCTCGATGTCCTGTGGGGCCCATTTCCTTCCTCCAAAGGGGCCCTCCTCTCCATCGGGGGTCTGGGCGACAGCTTGCTGGGGGGCCTGCACCCCATTTCGTCTTCACTCCAGACATCTTTTCTGTTTTCTTTTTTTCCAGCGACACTACCTGAGAAGCCTGTGAAACTGGCGCCACATGCCAGAGATAAGACAGGCATCGCCCAGGCGCTCCCTTCCGCAAGGGCGAGGACAGAGTAAGAGGGGACTGGGTGGGTGGCCTCGACCCGCCCTCCCCCAGAGGCTCTGCCTCTCCCTCCCCTGCTTGCCACTGACTGGGTGCCCGCCTTTCAATGCCAGCGGTTTCCTCTCCTCGCCTCGGCTCCTGCTCAGGAGGAGGTCAGAAGTCCTGGCTGTGGTCTCACCTGCACCGGCTCCTTACTGTGTGTCCTGGGCAATTCCTGAACCTCTCTGAGCCTCCATTTCTTCCTCAGGCTCAGAGGATTGGTGATTTTCAGTGGTTTGCTCTGAGGCTCTGACAGTTGAGCGGTAGCAGGGTGCTCATTCCGCCCTTTGCAGGTCCCTCCTGGAATACGACGCCTTTGGCACCATGGCCGACCTGGCAGGAACTGAGGCTGAGGTGAGCCTGGCCGGCCCTCCTCCCACCCTCTCTACGCAGCCCTGCAGCCCTGGAAGCAGTGAGGTGGGCGTCATGGCCCAGAGCCACTCACAGGACGGCTTCGAAGGCCCTGCAAAGCCAGTTCCTAAAGCCAGACAACACCAAGGGCTGCCCAATGCCCAGAGCAACATCCTCTTCCTCCCCCGCGGAGACGGCCTGGAAGGCAGAGCCAGCAGCTGCTGGGGCTCGAGCGTTGCGTGGAGCTGGGTGTCCACAGGGGGCCCCAGGGGCAGTCACTGGCGGGAAGGGCAGCGCTGAGGCCCTGGAAGCGGGCTTTCCCGTTGGGAGGAAGCGAAGTGGCAGCGCTCCCTGGGCCTCCACACCTGGGCAGGGTCCACTTCCGGCAGCACCCAGGCCCTCGGGCGGGCAGGCTCCTGGCGAGGCCCATTGGCGAGCTCTGCTCTGGCCCCAACAGCAGCTGCCAGGCTCTTGACTAACCCCGTCCTTCCCCTCCGGTGGCCTCAGGATTCCGACATCTCAGATGCAGACCCGCAGGCTTTGCTCCAGGCCATGAAGGTAGGAAGCGGCTTGCGTCCGGGTTCTAGTAGCCGGGTGGCCTGGGCTGCCGATATTTCCTGCTACGCGTTCATTCTCCCTCCCACGATGGCGTTTTGAGCCCTTCCCAGGGCGAGAATGGAGCTCATCGTGAGCTGCTGCCCTCTGCCCTCTGCCCTCGGGGATGAGTCCCATTTCCTGGTTCAGAGGTTCTCCCACGCAGACACATCAGGCCCAGGCCTCTGAGACATGGCCAGCTCCCCCCCCACCCCGCCCCGCCAAGGCTCACCTGGCTG